AGGCGGCGCGAGGGCGTGGCCGGGCGAAGAACGCGCCTGGAGGAAGCCGGCAGGAGGCGCAGGAGGTGCCGCCCGCCCCGCACCCGCTCTCGCGCCTGAAGCCTCGGTCGCCGAGAAGCGCGAAGGCGGCGCGCAATCGACAAAGAAAGAAGAAAAATTCTTCAAAAAGGATCCGGCGAAAAAGGCGGCCGCAGTCGGTGAAGTCATCTACCGCACTGACGAGTTCCCCTTTGCAAATCCCCAAACAGCACACGCTCATTCTTCGAACACAGAATTCCTCGCAGCAAAGCGCCCAGACGAAGAAGCTGATATTATCCATCACGTGGAAGCGGAACCTCTTTCCGCACCACAATCCAGAATTAGGCCGAGATGCGAACGTTCACGTGCGCTGCTCTATCTCGAAGCGATGAGGATTATGCGCGGCGGCAGCGGCGCAAGGAGCGGCGCAGGGCCCGCGGGCGCGGGCGCGGGTTCGACCTCGGAGGAGGGAGCGCGTTCCCGTAGGAAGAAAGCAGGAGCGGCAGGAGGCGGCGCGGCTGCGCACCACACCCAAGACACTTTTCTTAAGGCGCAGACGGAGGCGCTGTCGCCGCTTCTGGTCGGCGAACGGCCTTCTCACGCACGGGCCAGCGGTGCACACCTCCGGGACGAAGGGGCCTGCGCGCGGTCCACAGAAGGAGACAAACCCCACGTGATAAATCCTCTAAAGGAAAATTATGGCCACGTACAGCAGGAGTTAAAGGAGGTAGGGGTGAAGAAGAAAGAATTTAACACAAGAGAAAGAGTTACAGAAGACACAATCGACCAAGAAGAAAGAAAAAGCACAAATGGTGAAACAAAGGTGAAAGGTAGTTTAGTATCAGACACAAACGAAGACAGAGAAAAGGAGATCAACAGAAATGTGAAAGAAAATAAAGGCTGTGTGAATTTTCAAAGCAGCAGATCGAGCAAGCAGAAAGAAAAAGGCGGTATTGTGGAAGATATTAAGACTTTGGCAGTAAAAAAAAGACTTGGGACAAAATTGGCAGAAGAAAACGAGATGAACGAAGAAAGCAATCGAAAAATGGAAACATACGGCACAAAATCCACAGCTTCAATAGTAGTGGAGAAAGAATTTGAGAAATCTGCAGAAATAAATAGAGGTGGTGTCAATGAAAACAAATCTTTCGAAAGGAAACCAAACAGTAACAGTGAGGGGAGAGAAGAAAATATAAGACTAGAGGTAGAGGTGTGCCAAGAAGTAAAAGACGTTGATGGAAAGGACAGTGGCGGAACGAGGGAAGAGGAGGTGGAGCAGGAGAAGGGGAGGGACCAGGAGGAGGAGAACAAGGAAGAGTGGGAGGAGGGGGAGGACGAGGAGGAAGAGAGGAAGGAGGATGAGGGGGAGGAGGGAGAGGAGGAGGAGGAAGGTAGGACGGAGGACGAGTGGGAGGAGGGAGAAGAGGAGGGGGAGGACGAGGAGGAAGAGAGGAAAGAGGACGAGTGGG